ATTTCTCATACAACTTCAATCAATTATACATCAATATCAAGAGCTAACTCAATTGGGCATTCCTTGATCAAATACATGCATAAACCCTAAAATAGGGCTTAATGGGCTTAAACCCTAATTTAGGTCATTTAAGCTCGATTTTTCAATTTCAATGTAATTCCTCATTCTAACTAATTTTATTACATTATTTTAAGTCTAAATTGATCAATTGACTAATATGAAGTCAAATGTACCTAAACCCTAATTTAATCTCAATTTGGGTCAAATATGAGCCTAAGTAATTTAGGTGAAATTCTTTAATATTTATCAAATTTCTAACTTTCACTCATCAATTTATACTTAACCAACTCCTAATCAGTTGATAATTAATTAAATGTGGAAAGGAATCAAAACCTTAAAATTTGACATTTAGGCCAAATGCTTCCTAAAACAATTCAATAAAAATTCTTCAATTTTACTATAAATTGTTATACTCAATCATCAATTCACACCTGATTCACATATAATCAAGTGATAAATCATCAAAATAAGTAAAGCATCAAAAACCTTAAAATTACAAATTTTGGCTGAATGCTTTCTCTTTTCTAGCCCTAGAAAATTTTGATTTCTAATCATCCATTTTAAGTCCAATTGGTAGGTTTAGACATTAACTGCATGAATTTCTAACTTAGAATCTTTTTCTCCAATTTTCTTCACCAAAAACCCTAATTTTGAAAACTAAAGCCAATAAACATAAAATAAAGCATTCAAATCATGAATTGGTATTAATTAAATATTCCTTGTGGTGTAGGTGAGCTTAACTAACTCAAATAAGCTCCAAATTACCCTTGAAAGGTTGAATTATTTAGAAAATTCTTCCCTTTTTATCCTCCAATTTTTTACCCAAACTCAAATTTTTTGTCTTTGTGATTCTTGATATTGTAGCTTGAATTCGTTGCTTAATTAGTTTATTTAGCTTGTTCGAAGTGTTTAGGTGAAAATTTATGTGGAGTTCTAAGAAAATTTTGTAAGAGTTTCTCCTAATTTTGCTAAATTTCCAACATTTTTCCATAATTCCTACCACCCATATTTATAGGTAAATTAGGTAAATTTTTTTCCTTTGGTTGACTCCATCACAACCCTTCATTCGATTTAATCTTGACCCTTAATGTTTCTTTTAATCCTAACCTTTAAAGTGGTTTCATCATTACTATCCATTTATTCTTTAAATTGTTTTCCTCCATCTAACCCCTCTCTAAATCTAATCCTTCCATTTGTGCATGTATTAATTACACCCTAATTATTGAGCTGAAAAGGCCATAAAAAGGGAGAAAAATCTCTTCCAAAAAGTGCTTAATTTTGGTCCTTAAAGTTACTAATATTTTCGTTAATTAGTCCTCCATAAGTCCCTCAATTATTCAATTTCCTACTTTAGGCCCTTCCTTTAAAGGTTTCTTAACAACTTTTGAATTCCTAAAGTTCATATCTAATTTAATTTGAAAGTTTAAAATCATAATTTTATGCAATTAGGTCCTTGATTTTTATGCAATTAGGCCCTTAATTCTTAAATCTTACTCCATACCTTCGAAAATCTAATTTATTTTCATAATAAATTCAAACAACTCCTAAAAGAATTTAATCATCATTCACATAATTTTTATACACTTATTTAGTCCTTCAAATTAATTATTTTGTGTAAAAATACACCTTTTCCTTTAGAAAATAATCCCTATACATAGAAAAATTCATTTAAGTTCATGGAATATTTCTACACATCTTAAATGATTTTTCTATATTTATTAGATAATTTTCCTATACCTTTAAAGCACTTAAATTAATTAATTTACTGTAAAAATACTATTTATGCATAAAAAAACTCATATAAAATATTCATTGGATGTCGGAGAATTCATCCGATGGCACCGAACAATCTAGCACTCTACCAAATATTCTATATAAATAAAATATTTTTCATGCATATTTAGTATGCATAAAATAAATATTTCACATAAAAAGTCACTATTCATGCATTGAAAATCACATAAAATATTCACTCTACACTAAAAAATTATTCTCAGCACTCCGAATGTTCTAGCAATCTCTTTGTAATTATTCTATGCCCAAAATATTATTTTCTCATGCCTTTATTATATTTTAAACTTATTTAATAAAAGTTTTAATGGGTACCCGATGTTACACCCTCCCTTCCTTATAAAAATTTCATCCTTGAAATTTCTAGTCAAACAACTCGAATGTTAGGTTCACATCTCTACTTCTCTTTCCCAAGTTGCTTCCTTGACTTAATGATTTTACCATAGTACTTTTACTAATGAAATTTCTTTACATTCATAATTTCTCGACCTCCCGGTCAATATACCTTGGTCTTAACTTTTTTTTTCTTCCAAACCTCTTTAGGCTTTTTACTAGGGCTATCTTTAGAAATACCTTATTGCCCACTTGAAATTCTAATCTTTCCTACCTGCATCCGCATAACTTTTTTTGTTAGCTTTGAGCTATTTTTTTTCCTAGGTAGGCAACCCATGCATAAGATGATGTCGAAATCTTGAATATTCAAGACCACAAGATCGACATATAGAATGCAATCTTTTATTTCTCGGTTCACATCCTTTAATTATAATATTTGATTCTAGTGACTCGATAAATGGGAGCATCACTTCGTAAATGATGTCTAATACTAAAGGGGTCATGCATAATTGCCTTAGAAGTGATAAGGTAATAAATTAATATGTCGTACCCAAGTTTTCCCCATGCACATGTAAGAGGGTTAGAGATCTAAAAATTATTATGTATATTTTTATTATATTCCTTATCCGCCTCCTTTGATATCAACGTAATACTCATTCGGGAGCTCGTTGTCCTTCGAGAAATTTTCTCTTTCGATGATTGTTAGCTAAGTGTTCCACTTCTTGATAGAAGTAACATATGTTCTTGTCTACTAAACACTCTTCCATGAGTGGGAGACAAGTGTTAGACATTGACTCCTATAAATGACAAATGAAAAGGATGTGTAGATGGCACACTCGATGGTTCTAAAGAACATGTAAATAAGATTTACAACATGCAAAAGTTCATTTATAGACTTAAGCATGCCTCTAGGAATTAGAGTTAATGTTTTAATGAAATAATTAAAGAGTTTGATTTTTCATAAAAGCAAAGATGAACCTTGTGTATACAAAAGGTCGATGGGAGCCGACTAAATCATGGTTGTTTTAAATAAAATATTAAACAAACTACTTCTTATCTTTAAGCATTATTATGTTGCAATCCATAATAGATGGAGATATCTAAAAGCAATTTTTTGAAAGTATGACATAGAGGGTAACTTACATCCTAAAAGTTAAGATCTATAGAGATCAATCACTTAGAATATGAGGGTCTTCCAAGGTAGATACATTGACATGATATTAAAAGGTATATTATGGAAAAATCAAAAAAAGATTTCTTCTAATGTCATATAGCTCGATGAGCGATTCATACCACATGCTAAGGAACCAAGGTCTCATCAATGGTCCAAGCATGTATTGTGATTCCACCATCTAATTAAAGAGATCATCAATCATGGCAACATAAAGATAGAAAAGGTTCACACTAACGACAACTTAGTTGATCCCTTGACTAAGCCTTTGTCACAACTAAAACATGAGTCCTTTACTCAATCATCGAGATCAAAAGATGTTGTTGGTTGATTTCAATGCATGTAGGAGATTGTTAGTGTAAGTGTCTAAGATGCAACCATGTTTGGATCAATTTAAGTTATTATATTATTTCATAATTTCTTTTATTAATTCTTATATTTTATGTTTATTTATTCAGCAGAATCGGATAGAAGTCCTTATGATATGCATTTGCATTGGTGATTGATCGAAAGATATCAGTGCAAATACTAATGCACATAAAAGATATCATTAAATGCCAAATGTCAATAATGGACATCAATTAGATATAGTTGGACTTGTGAATGCTATGTTCATACTATATGATAATAGTAAAAGGTCTCACACCTATTGGCATGATGATGCCAAAGTAAGCACTTAGTAGATTCATGTTAGAGAATATATCACTAGACTTGACTTGCCATAAGAACCTAGTTGGTTTAGTCTATGGGAATCTCATAAGAGATTGGTACAACAGGTCTTTAGCCTTAAATTCATCACGGTTATCTCATTAGAGGATTTATGTACTTTGACACTCATTTCAATGGATCCGAGTAAAGGGTTGCGCATGAACGATTTGTTGGGTGCACTTGAAATCTAATGGAGGTAGGTGGATGACTAAAATTGGACATGTCATTCCTTATAGGCTAAAAAAATTATCACATTGCACTTTGATGAATGTTTGCGTAAGAAATTTATGGCCATAATAGAAGTACACCAATAAAGCATAGTTGATTTACTCTAAGAGCTAAGACATTTAGGAATCCAAGAAAACTTGTGTGATCATGATTGAACAAGACTAATAACCAAGTTTGAGACCACACTATAATAAGTTGACATGAAGAGTGAATTATATGATAACCATGATCATGAAAGGTAATTACGGATTAATTAATCCTCCTAGAGATTTGAGTAGTCATGATGCCTTGCTAAAGGCCAAATTTGACTTATGTATCCAGATAATTGGGTAGTCATGATGTCTTGCTATAGGCCAATCTTGATATATTGCCAACATATCTAGGAGCCTATTGAGTCACACACATAATTTTATGCATTCACATGATTAAAGATGTTAACACCCAATTTTGGATTAAAAAAAAAAGGAAAAAGAGGAAAAGAAAAAATAAAGGAAAGAAAAAAGAAAAGGAAGTAAACAAAGTAATATTAATACAATTGGGGGCACAATTGAAAAAGAAAGGAGAAAGGAGCCAAAATAAAGGGAGTTTGTAAAGTGAGGAACCAAAAAGACCTTTAGCCCAAAAACCCTAAAAAATACCTAGTATAAAAACACTCCTTTCCTCCCAAAAAGCCACCAGCCTATCGTTCACTCTCTTCCCCAAAAATTACCCTAGCTATAGCCCTCTTACATATGGTCATTTGCACCGGAAAACTTGGTCCGACCATTACGTCCTCTCGCTCACCCATCACCGACACCCCCTCATGCCCATCCACGCACCGCAGCCCAGCCCATTGCTCTACCGGCGCCTCCCGCAGCGCACGCCCGCACAACCAGTAGCTCGTGTGCGCTTCCTCATGCCTACAGCAGCCCCCACCCACCTGCCTTTCTCCCACACAACAAGCCTCCCGCAATAAATCCTCCCTAGCGAGCCGCCCAAGCACGCCAACACCTCGCCAAGCACACGCCCGCCCCTCCCGGCGCCTCGCTAGTGCGTGCTTGCCTCGCCAATGCCTCTCTAGCATGCTAGCGCATGCCTCTCCAGCATGCCATCGCCTCTACGCATTTACTAGTGCCTTGCCAAGCACATGCTTGCCCTTGCTAGCGCTATAGCACGTCTCGCTCCAGCACGCCAAGACCTTCGCCAGATGGCTCGTTACATCCACCTTTCCTTTCCGGTTGACTAAGTATCAATCTCCATCCGGGTTGAATAGGTCGGATCTAAATTTGAGACCGCCAAGTGAATCGATCCAGACTCGTTTTTCTTTACGATAATCTTTTTTCACTTATTATTATTATTATTTTCTTTATTTCATTTTTTATTTTTATTTTTATTTTTAACATGTATTAAATTTGCCTCATGTTGATGTATGTCATGTAATTATTTGAATGAATGTGATGTAATTTGATCTCGTTTATTCATGTGTAATCCATCCGAATTGCAATGATGTGTACTTTTGATTTTTTTTCTACGATATGAAGGAATGATGTGTTGGTCATGCTGATATTTGTTGATATTTGAACGCATATTTTAAAATTGCATCTTGCATGATAACTTGTATAAAAAGTCGAGTCATTAAAGTTTGAAAAGTTGCCATGTAATTTCGTTCTTGTTAAGCATGCTAAAGTAATTAATTTTATTGATTTTTATGTGTTTTCTCCGTTTTTGGTCACATTGTCGGTTCTCATCAATTTTTGCCTATGTGTGTTCGTTTTGTTGGTTTTAGCCTATTTTCGCTTAAAGTCGCCAATTTGCGATTTCGTTGCCGATTTTGACCAAGGCCGTCACTTTGTTTTTCGTTGTCAATTTTTTTTCGTTGCCAATTTTGGCTTATCGTGGCTTTCGCTTTTGTTGTCGATTTTGGCCAAAGCTCGTGGCTTTCATTTTCATTGCCGATTTTAACAAAAACTCGTGGCTTTCGTTTTTTTTGCCAAATTTGGCCAAAGTTATGGCTTTCGTTTCGTTGTCGATTTTAACCAAAGCTATGGCTTTCATTTCGTTGTCGATCTTAACCAAAGTCGTGGCTTTTATTTTTTGTTATCGATTTTGGCCAAAGTCGTGGCTTTCATTTCGTTGCCGATTTTAACCAAAGCTATGGCTTTCGCTTTCGTTGTCGATTTTGGCCAAAGTTGTGACTTTTGTTTTTGTTGTTGATTTTAACAAAAGCATTGGCTTTCATTTTTTGTCACCTCCATTCGTAGCCTTGTCCAAGCAGCGGGAGTTTAATGCTACTTTTGTGTATGGTTACAACACAACTATTCAACTTCGAGCACTTTGGGCCGACCTTCGATCATGGAATCCTCCTTGTCCGTGGCTTGTCATCGAAGATTTTAACTCCATTCTCTCGTAAGCTAACAAGCACAATGGAGCTGCAGGCACTACTTATGAGATAATGGACTTTTGATCCTACTTCTGGATCTAGGTCTCTATGATCTCACATATTCGAGTAGCCATTTTATCCGAAACGGTGGTCATACTCGGACCAAGATTGACAGAGTCCTCGTAAATCCGTTTTGGTCTACGTCCCATCCCCGACCTCTGTTCGGTTCGGTCCTCCGGGTGACTTCTCCGATCATGCTCAAGCATGGGTTCACCTTGTAGTCGCCTTATCCCCATCCGGAGGCACTTCAAGTTTTTTAATATGTGGGCTCACCATGCTAGTTTTCTCCAGCTAGTGGATCAAGATCGACGCCGCGATGCTCATACCGATACAATGTTTATGCTCGTGTGGAAAGCTCAAAGCTCTAAAAGGCCCGTTGAAGATGCTCAACAATCTCCATTTCAGCCATATTCGAAAAGAGTTACCCATGCTACGCTTGCCCTCGAGAGTCACCAATAGGCCCTATAGAATGACAGAGATAACGGTAGCCTTCGGAGTAAGAACGTAGCCTAAGACTAGATTTGGTTAATCTTAAGTCAACCAAGAAAATGTTCTTTAGTCAAAAGCTTAAGTGCAAATACATAGAAGAGAGTGACAAGGGTAGCAAATTTTTCACACTCTCACGAGCCATAACCACAAGAAGAATTTCATCGCAACCATCGAGGGAACTAATGGGCAGCCTTACCACTTCACTTGTCGTTGTGGGGGGCCTATTTGTTGACTACTACAAATCTCTATTTGGCTCGACTAAAGCTTCCATTCCTTTTAAGGCCGAGGTAATCTCGCAATGGCCTTGCCTCGATGCTAGCACTCAAGCCTTGCTTCTAGCCTCGATTTCCGATGAGACCATCCGAGTCACTTTGTTCGGGATTGATAATGACAAAGCTCTAGGTCTAGATGGCTACTCCTCTCTGTTTTTTAAGTAGGCTTGGGGTGTAGTGGGTGAAGACTTCGTGCTACGATGAAGACCCTCTTTATCTCGAGTTAGCTCCTTAAGCAAGTCAATCATTCGGTGATTGCTCCGATCCCTAAATCGGCTAATGCCTCTTCTCCCGCAGAGTTATCGACCAATATCTTATTGCAATAGTGTACAAAGTCATTTCGAAGATCCTCTCCTCCAAGTTAGCTAGTGCTTTGGTTGATATCATTAGCCCTATGCAAAATGCTTTCTTAGGTGGATGAAAGATGTCGGACAATATACATCTTCTACAGGAGCTACTTAGGCAAGTACGGTAGGAAGTGGGCCTCCTCGTGATGCCTTCGAAGGTGGACTTCAAGAAAGCCTTTGATTCAAGGTGCAGTGGACATTTCTACAAGAACTCCTTTTACACCTTGTCTTCCCCAATGCTTTTGCTCATTTGGTTATGACTCGTGTGGAGACTCCCTCTTATTCTATTTCGATAAATGGTAGCCTCTTTGGATTCTTCCAAGGCCAAAGCGGGATTCGACAAGGAGACCCTCTCTCTCTTTACCTCTTCATAATGTGTATGGAATACTTCTCCCGCATGCTTCATCTTTCTATCGCATCGGTTGAGTTTCGTGTCCATCCACAAGTGTGGGCCTCTTCGTATCATTCATCTTATGTTTCCGGATGAATCATGCTCCTTTTTTATGGAGATAAAGCCTCCGTGCGAGTGCTTATCTTCACAATTGTGTAAGTTTTGTCGAACTTCTAGCCTCATAATCAATGAGTCCAAATCATTACTTTATTTTGGGGGTATCGAGTGATGACCTTGCAGCGATCGTCCTTTGGGATACGGGGTTTATCGAAGGTTCTTTTCCCTTCGAAATCTCGAAGTCTCGCTAAGTCCTCACCGCCTTCTTATCGGCTAGTTCTCTCTACTATTATAGCGCTTGGAGTCGACAGGTGCGAGCTTGCTTAGGCAAGCATCTCTCATATACGAGTCATCTTGAGCTTCGTGTTTAGTCCTCGTGGGCATTGTTCGGCTCCGGTTAGCCATCTTTCGTATTTCGACAACGATCATCTCCTAAATCACCGAGCATTTGTCGGGATTTTCTTTAGACAGGGGATATTCGAAAATGTCATTCAGCTCTAGTATCTTGGAAGGTGTTGAGTTATCGAAGACGGAAGGGGCTTGGCACTTTGGGACTCGAAAAGGCTTAATCGGTGCTTCCTAGCCAAGCAACTTTGGGACATCCATCGCAAAATCGATTTGATTTGGATCCAATGGGTCCATCATTTCTACTTGAAGGATTCTTCCGTTTGGGACATCCAAGTGAATCGGACGACATCCCCTCGTGGAAGGGCATTCTTTCTATCAAAGACCAATCTCAAAGCGAAGTTGGAGACAATCCTCAATTGGTAGCGCGATTGGAAGCTTCGGGGGCGCGACAAATTTATTCGTAACGCCTACAATCGTCTACGCCCCACGGGCGCCTTGGTTAATTAGGCCCGCGTTGTTTAGGAGCAATGGATGCCGCCATGGCACGCCTTTGTCCTTTGGTTAGCGGTTAATGGAAAGCTCAAAATAGCCGATCGTCTCTCGCTTTGTCCTTGACGATACTCGTTGTTTGCTTTGTCGGTAAGCTCTCGAGTGTCATCGTCATCTCGTTCTTTGAGTGCCCTTGGATAACCTATTTGTGGGTCCGATTCGAAATTGGCTCAAAATTAAAAGAAGAATTTCTACCTTTACTAGTACCATTTGAGGTCTTTCATAGGGCTGAACAATCTAGAAGCCCGAATACGACGAGTTTCATTGGCCATCATAGTATATTTGATTTGGGAAGAGCGTAAAAAGAGGCTTTTGACGGTTCTCCCTCAATAATTGACTCGCCTTTTTCGAAAGTTTTAGGTTCTCTTTTTCATGATCTTTCACTTCCATGAGAAGGACCATACTATCCTTAATGTCGAGTAGTAGTTTCGGACACCGACCGTCTCCTTAGTACTCGTTCTCGAGCCACACTTATAGCTACTTTGTAAATTGTTAACTTTTGATCTTCTCGACAAGATTTTGTATGCTCGTTGAGCCTTTGTAAATGGTTCCAATTGCTAGCACAAGTTTATCGATTGGTTTTTCTTGGAATCTATAATGTCGATTCCTTGAACAACCTTCTAGTTCTAGCTCATTTGCTTCATTTTCTTTGGGAGCATGTTCCCATCCTCTTGTATATCCCGTAAATATGATCTGTAGCTGGCTTTCCAGACTCCGTTAACTTTTGATTTATATACTTACATCTAAAAAAAAAGAGCTCTCGGTCCGTCAATCCTTACTATGTCTAGACCTAGTAAGTTTCCTCGAGTTGAGTCAAATTAAGTCATAGGCTCCACTCCCGGTGGTGGCCTTCGTCAATTCCTTTAAGTTTCAGCCTTGCGACCATACTCCCCCTACAACCCAAAAACTTTGATTTCTCATAAGGGGATTATGAGCGAGGCGACAGGGGCCTCGCGAGCGGGCATGCCTTTCCCGTATTTGGGGCCGCCGAGAGCGCGTGATCAACGGGATCTGCGTTGCTAGGCTTAACCACCGGCCTACCCCCTTGGCTCCAAGTGCCCAAACTCATTTTGCCAATGCGGCATGATATATCGCAGATCCACGACCCATGACCCTCGGCCCACGGCCCCTAACGCCCCAAGCTCTAAGCCCTAAGGCCCCGTGTCCCGTGCGAAGGCGCGGGTGTGGGCG